GAGAGGGGACCTGGTAGCAGCATACCACTACACTAGGGGAGTACATCAAGGGCTCAGTGAGCAACTGTTCACCAGGGCGCCTGAGGGGAAAACTAGGAGTAATGGCCACAAACTCCTGAAAGACTGATTCAGGCTCAACATTAGGAAAAATTTCTTTATATTCAGGGTGTCCAGTCTATGGAATAAGCTTCCTCCAGAGGTGGTGCAATCATTTACCCTGGAAATCTTCAAGAGAAGACCTGACAGTCACCTTGCTGGTGTCACCTGACCCCCAGTTATCTTTCCTGTTTGGTGCAGGGGGCTGGACCTGATGATCTTCCAAGGTCCCTTCCGACCTTACAATCTATGAATCATTAGTTCATTGTTGTTGCTCCTCTGTTAAGTCTAAGATGAATTTAGTCTCCCATAATTAGAGTTAGCAATGAGATATCATTGCTGGGCTACATGAAACCCTATGACCAAAGTAGATTAAAGTATTCTTTTGCCTTGTGCTATTCAACTTTGTTCCTTCCTTGCCGTAAGGAGCTCAACAGGTCTTTCACCACCCCTAATCCAGCTGTTAGCTGCTACCACCATCCAGGGAATTAGCGGTGGAGTGTATGCATGAAGTGGAGTGTATGATGCACTGTATAATTTGTCTGGCTTTTTAGAAAGAAGATGAAAAGAGGCAGATCTGATGGCTTGAACAATCCATCCAATATTGGAAAAGCTACCTTGTTCTTTGAAGGGTCTTCCTGTATGCTAAATTGGATGAAATGTTTCTTTTATTGTCAGAGATGGTAAGTTTAAAGTTAGCACTATCCCTTCTACTAGCTCAAGATATTGAACAATGATCTTCAAAAAAGGCGTCAGCTATCACCATAGAAGAGCTCTATCAAGACTGAAACGGGAAGATCCAATTCATAGTGTCGCATACCTTTTGAGGTGTGGAAGGAGGTATCCTTATTTTGCCAAATATGTATTGGACATTTCATCATTTCCTTTGGTGGATATCACAAGAGCTAATCTCACTAATAATTTTCTTCCTGAAACATTTCATAGCCAAGAGATCTAAACAAGTCCTTTGCAGGGGCATACCTTGGACCCGAAGCCGGGAAATTTGGCTGAACATGTTGTCTAGACCTGTCTTGTACTTCATCAGAATGAGGTTCTGATCTTGAATCTGTAAGTGGTACTCGTGGCAGAATACCACCTGTCTCTCCCCAAACTCTGCTCTGTGACAATTTGGTTACCATGGTCACTGCAGAGGGCAGACATCCCATGGGCTCCAGGTAACCCTGAGTTGTAACATAAGCTGGGTACATTCCTGAGGGAGGGGGGAAGTCTGCTCACTCTGCCTACCTGACTGGCATCACATACCTGATATTCTATCCAGCAACCAGTAATGCATTTCAAATTGGTTGGCTGGCAGCCAACACTTGCTGGCCTTCATTGGATCAGATAAATGAGGTCATACGGCCTATATAAGTTAAGGACTGCCCAGGAGCAGGGGCAGTAGCCATAATAAACTCAGAGAGTAGCCGGACTATCTGAAACTTGCTCTCTCTCTCTTGAAACTCATGTTCAATGAGCTGCCTGCCTCCAGAGGGAATCTCCACCTGCCTTTGGATGATACTCATGAGTAAGCTCCCTGAGATCTAACTAGATATTTAGCTTGTAGTAACTCAGATGCGTGATCAAAGGCTACTCAGCCACCCTGTTTGCTCCATGGGATTTCTCTGATATTGCTCTACCCTGTACCTTATTCTAAACCTACTCCTTATAACCAATAAAGTTCTCCCTTGTACCTAGCATGGGAGACTTAATGGGAGTGGGTCTAGATTATGCCTTGGGGTCCCCTTGGTTTGGCTGACTAAGGGAGACCACTATTTGTACTTCAGATTTGGGGAAGCACTCCAAGTTCTTGCAGTGGGTCAAGTACCTTCAAGGACTACTAGGCCTGTGTTTGCCAGAGGGCACAGGTCCAGGATCAGTCCCGATTCTGGGTGGTGGTGGCATTACCCCCAGGCTAGTGGGTGTGCTCCAGGAAGGGAGTCGGCCACACATGAGGTGACCCCAGGGAGGCACTTGGAGCTTGGAAGGTGGTTGGGTGCAGTGAGGTGGGTGGTTCAGTGCAGGAGCACCCCCTACTGGCCTGCCACAGATACTATCAGTGAAACTACCAACATTGGGAATTGAAGCATAATCAGTGGCAAAATAGTCCTAAAGATGTCTTAAGAAGCAGCAATTACAATTTAGGAGAGGTACTAGGTATCTTCCACAATCTCTTCTCAGGAGAATGGAATTGAGTAGAAACCACTGGAAGAGTTGTTATCTTTACCACCCTTGCAAGTAACTCCTCTGACTCCCCTGTCCAAACCAATTTGATGGCTTTCATCCACTGATGTAATCCCACCCAGTTTGATGGTAATCTCAGCACTATATCTTTTTGCACCATAATGAAACCCTCAGATTCCTAAGAACACTTAAATCTGGTTGGGTCTTTTGGATCAGTTTTGTTGGACTGTGAAACACAATGTCTGAATTTGCCACTGATGAATCATGTGGATCTCCACTCCAGGATCTGTCACTGCAAATGGTAGCTGTCTTTCCTTTATCATCTTCTCTGGGACTGAGCTGATGAATCTCTAATATTCTCTTGATTCCACATTCTACTGGAACCCTGCTTATTTTTGCTTTCAATTGCTCCATTTTGATCTGAAGCTTATGTGCAGAAGAAAATGACAGAAGAAAAATTATTCTGATCCCAATTTCACATTCTTCTTGACTGCCTTTGAGAGCTGAGATAGATCTCTTTGCCTTAGGATCCATATTCTCAGGTACCTTGGAACCAAGCCTTAGGATCCACGTTCTCAGCTACCTTGGTACCTGAGGCTTCCTGAAGTGAGAGCGAGCCTGCTACCTATTTTGTCTTTCTCTGCCTGCCCCTTCAGTGAAAGTGCAGGAAAAAGAGTATCTGGATGCTCACCAAGGCACATCAGAATCATAGAATCATAGAAGTGAAGGGAAACCAGCACGGGTTCGTAGCAGGTAGATCATGCCTAACTAATCTAGTCTCTTTCTATGACCAGGTTACAAAACACCTGGACACAGGAGTAGGAGTTGATGTCATTTACTTAGACTTCAGGAAGGCCTTCAATACAGTATCCCACCCCATACTGGTGAACAAGTTAAGAGGCTGTGACTTAGACGACTACACAGTCCGGTGGGTGGCGAATTGGCTAGAGGGTCGCATCCAGAGAGTTGTAGTGGATGGGGCGGGATCAACCTGGAAAGGTGTGGGCAGTGGGGTCCCCCAGGGCTCGGTCCTTGGACCGATACTCTTCAATGTCTTCATCAGCGACTTGGACGAGGGAGTGAAGCGTACTCTGTCCAAGTTTGCGGACAGAGGGTAGGAGCCAGCACCACTTCCCTTGGAAGTTGGTTCCAGGTCCTAGCCGCCCTGACTGTGAAGTAGTTCCTACGGATGTCTAATCTGAACCTACTCTCCAACAACTTGCGGCCGTTATTCCTTGTTATCCCGGGGGGTGCTAGGGGAAACAAGGTCTCTCCCAAACCCTTCTGGTCCCCCCTAGTGAATTTATAGACGGTCACAAGATCCACCCTCAACCTTCTCTTGTGAAGGCACCACTTCTCCACACCAATCTTTGTGCTCCAGGGCAAACTCCAGCTGAAGCCACAAGACCAAACAGGATGAGAGAAATGCCTTATACTCCCGTCCAACTCCTTAGTAACAGCCTGAAATCTCATGGTGGCCAGAGGAAACACTACAGTGACATAGCAAACCTCAAGTCAATGAATGCTGACATAAAAAGTTGGGAGGAGCTGGCTGCCAACTGACCCCAGTGGCATCACAACCTCAGTGAAGCAGCAGCCCATTTCAAAGTAAAGTGTCTTGCCCTCAATTCAGAGAAGAGAGAGCAGAGAAAGAAAAGGAGAGGAATCCCAGCCTGTAGCCTACTCTCTCCTGTGGAAGGAGCTGCAATTTCTGTGGATGGATTGTAATTGGACAGATCTATGCCTCAAGGACTGGGCTATTAACTCACTTCAGGACTCAAATGAACCATGGTAGAGATCATCCTCGAATCAAGGGATTGCCAATGATGACAACTGCTGTCCAATTAACATACATGTCCGATAGCATGGCAGTACTTGTAGTACCTTTTGGATTTGGCTCAGTGCTTTTAGGCTTCTCTGTTGCCATGGAAGAGCAGAAGGACTCTACATGAGAGGTGCTACATCAGAGAACCCAGAAGGTTACAGCCTGAATACCTTCAAGAGAAGGAGAGCAGAGCCAGAAGTTGAAGTGTCATCACTACTGCACAAAAATTACTGGAGCACAAGTATGTAGCAAAAGATGAATTTTGTGACAAATTCCACAGCCACTGAACTGCAAAATTTGGAAGGTTATGGGGCCCTGTCAACACAGCCCACACAACACAGTATCCCTCCTCCTTCAGCCTCCAAGCAATAAAGAGTAAACTCATATTTAGCTCCTCCTGATTGTAAAGTATATGGTAAAGGTTGTTGCCCCTCCTTCCGAATGCTAGCAAGAGCCCGAGAACCCACGCTGTATAAGAAACTGCCAATGCAATTCAGGAATGCACATCTAAGTCCCTACAAGAAAAAGCACTTGTGCAAAGGATGAAATTTACAGGGGGATTTCACAGCACAATCCAGTCCTACTAACAATGGTGCTATTTACTCACAATTTTCAGCCCCAGGCAGAGTCAGTATTCACAGGTATAACCACTCTCATACAGAAACCTACAGTTTCGTTATAAGACCTCTGGTGTCTTTTCCATCTCTCAAAAGGGTTCACCTCTTAGCCTAGATACTTACAGCACAGGATATTTTTATTGCAGCCTACAGAAAGAAGAATCTGATTTTTCAGGTGCTTTAATGGGATTCATGCCTATATTCCATGGATTGCAAATTTTAACATGTTAGTGAGAAGGGGAGAGACTTCTTGATATTTGCTGTGACAACATGCATCATACCTGATTTTTTATTTTAAGGGACTCCATTTCCTCAATGAACTTCTCAGTTAATTCCTTTATCTTCTCATTGTAGCTCATGTCCTTGAGACGCAGCTGGTACATATTTTCCATTTGCAGTTCTTCCACACGAGATTTCAGTTCCTTCATGACTAGAGTCTGTCAGGAGAAAGATGACATGCTAACAGAGAGGTTTTTACCAGTAACTGCAGCTGTTTGAAGGCATTGCCTCTACATTTTTACCGCTCCTCTAAAAGGCAGTTTTGAAACAGGATTTCCTAAACATACTCAAATGATTTGGGCCATTCAGATAAAAAAAGATTTTGACTCTGAAACTTGACTTTTTGTTCCTCTTACACATGTTGTCTGGCATACAGAAATATTAGGTCTGCCCATTCTGCTAACACTGCTCTCAATATCTCTAATGATTTCTCCATCAAGTCACAGAGCCTCTGCTCTTTGCAGTACCTGAAATGGAAGCTATCTACATGCTACTCCTTGCACATCAGTACTGGAAGCTCCAGTACTTGGATGCAGCCTCTCCTTCTGAATAATGCTGTGCCAACCTGCTTGTTTGTGCTGTCGTGCAAGTGGTCACAGCATTCTGTAAATGCAGCTCACAGACTGGGAGCATAAGAGAAGAGAAGGGGGCATGAGATTTGCATCCATAATTTGCTCTTACCTTCTCTTCCATGTCTGCTTTAGTGATCAGCACCTCATCAGCATATCCTACTTCCCTTTCTCGTTTCAGGCCCCGCCCTTCTTTATCATATACCTTCCAGATAATCAAGCAGCCATCCTCTGAGACAGTCAACAGAAACTGGTCATCACAAGTTATAGATATCTAAAAAGGAAGAGAGAGACAGAAGAATGAGAGTAGAGGTATGGCACAAAAAAGAAGATACAAATTGCACTTACATTGGACTACTCTCCTAAGATTTTCTATCACTGCTGAATCTATGGTGGGAATGCTGATGTAGTTCAGCTACTAGGATTTTGAGCGAATACGTTCTTAGGGTGCAAATGGACACAACACTTAAACCATTTCAAGACAGTCACTGATTGGGAACTGGTTCGTGATTGTCCCTGGACAGAAGTATCCACATGTACATTGCATTGCCAAGTGGAACCCTCAACTTTTAGGGAATGCACAGCTGTTGAAATTCCACCAGTGAGTGGTAGAGTAGACAAACCTTCCAGGGAGGAGTGGAGGGGTTGCCAGGTACTGGGGGTATGGGGAGGGCTGTGTGGTCCCTGCTTGTGGTTCCCAGGAAAGAGGAGAGCTGCATGCTCCTCCCTTTCCCACGATTTCTGCAGCATTTCAATGCCCGCCTTATAAACCATGCTGTCAGTTTCACCTCCCTGCTAGAGACCCTGCGCCTTAGGGCACCAGGTTCATTTGGGGCAAAGGAGAGGCAAGTCGCACAGCACCCCCAGCTTCTGACAACTCCTCTACTCCTTTCCCCCTCGCCTCAAATGAGCCTGGAACCTTAGGGAGCAGGGGTTTGGACTGGAGAGTACTGGCTGCATTCCAGAGCAGCCCCTTGCCCTGTATGCATTTGGGGAAGGAGGTGAGGAACAGTGTAATTTGGTATTCTTGGAAGACTGACCAGACACTAGGCACACAATGTTCTATGTCCCCATATAACATTGAGCCGGTTCCTGGAGTACTGGCTCAAAATAGTACTTGATTTTCCTGGTATGCTTTTGAAATGTTCTAGGAAGTTTAAGCTGTTCTTAAGCAGTGTACCCATCTAGACTCTTGGGGTTTGAAGTTTATTTAGAATTTTCTAAGAGTTACATCTGTCACACGAGATCAAGATACCACACTGGCTGCTACTACAGCCCTGTCTGCACTAACAATCCCACTGTTTCCCTGGTGTTGGTAGAATGGTGGGGGGAAATTATTATAAGCTTTGGACAGAAAAAGTCTCTAGGTCACTGGCCTGCCTATGACAATGACATTTAAGACAACAGCTAATTTTAAAGGGTTTGGGCATTTAGCGTTTTTTTTAAAACCATGCTGACACATCCCAAGCTTTGGGTAAGAGTGAGGGTCCAATGTTAGGCCCATTTTTGGACACCTTCCTTCACTCTACCAGCTGACCAATCAGAAATAAGAGGCTCCTTCCTGCACTATGTCCAAGCAGCAAGCCTCGATCATGTTGAGGGGGTCCAAAAGAGGGCCACTCGCATGATCCGGGGACAGCAGGGCAGACCCGATGAGGAGAGGCTACGGGACCTTAACCTGTTCAGCCTTCGCAAGAGAAGGCTGAGGGAGGACCTGGTGGCCATCTATAAACTTACTAGGGGGGGGACCAGCAGGGTTTGGGAGAGACCTTGTTCCCCTGAGCGCCTCCCGGAGTAACAAGGAATAACGGCCGTAAGTTGCTAGAGAGTAGGTTTAGACTAGACATCAGGAGGCGCTACATCAGTCAGGGCGGCTAGGATCTGGAACCGACTTCCAAGGGAAGTGGTGATGGCTCCTACCCCGGGGGTCTTTAAGAGGAGACTTGACATTTACCTGGCTGGGGTCATTTGAGCCCAGTTTTCTCTCCTGCCCAGGGCAGGGGGTTGGACTAGAAGATCTACAAGGTCCCTTCCGACCCTGCATCTGTGAATCTATATTAGGCTGGGCAGGGAGAATATGCATGTCTCTCTGCCCTCTACAAAACTCAGAAAATGCCCACTGAGCATGCTCTGAACCTCTCCCCATCACACAGATGGAAAATTCTCCTACAGGGAGGATACACTCTATCAGATTAGGACCTTAGGTGATTACGGAAGTCTATAGTCCCATGGAATTCCTGCAGGATTTACCCATTAGCTCCCTTTTTGTCAGTAAGACTTTAGCCAACAAACTCAGAGTTCTATATTAATTTTCTCCACATGGCATATGTAGCCTTACTTCTAACAGGTCCTATACACTGGAAAGAAGAAATCAGAGACAAAGAGCAGGGGAGTCCAAGTCACTCACACACACACATGCCTTACCTTGGTAATGGGCCCAGCATGGGCCTGGTACTCATTGAATTCCTTGTGTAAAGGCAAGGGGTATTTCATAGATCGGATGGTTCCCATGGAAGTGCCAACAAATACCATACGCCCAGAATGAGACACAACTATTGCAGTATAAACAACATCAAAAGTAGGCACTTCACGCAGGATCTAAAAAACACAGAATGGTCTAGACTAAGCAGTGCTGCTAGGTTAACAGTACAAGACCACCAGTCACCCCACTCTGCCTGTAGACAGCAATGGGAAAACAATTAGAAACAAACATACATGCTTAGAGGTACGGAATCATGAGCAACAATTAACTCTTGTTAACATCCAGCTTCATAAATGACCTTTGATATATTGGCAGCTTTTAAACATTATAACATTTGTTGCATAATTGACTGCTTTCCTTGACAGAAACAGCAGGCAAGGGAAACTGAAGCAGATGCACACAATATAGTGTCTCAGAAACTTGATGTCATGTAACTTTACAGTTAGGGCTGCCAGGCTCTGGAATGGGCTCCCAAGTGAGGTGGTGCTCTCTCCTACCTTGGGGGTCTTCAAGATGAGACTGGACAGATATCTGGCTGGTGCTTTGACCCCAGCACCCATTTCTGCCCGGGGCAGCGGGTTGGACCTGATGATCTGTTTAGGTCCCTTCCAACCCTAAGCATTATGATACTATGACTGAAAAATTGCTAAAGAATCATAAATTAAGATGAAATGGCAACAAGTGTTCAGATATCATAGAATCATAGAGAAGTAGGGCTGGAAGAGATCTCCAGAGGTCATATACTCCAACCTCATGTTCAAGGCAGGATGGTCCCTATTCAAACCATCCTGTATAAATTCTTGTCTAGGCTAAAACTACATAAACCAACCCTGTTACACAACTACAAGGCCCATTCCCTAAAGGCACCAAAAGTGCTGTAATGTGCCACAGGTAAAGCAGGGTTCAAGGGAGGTCAATGTCCCACCATGGGGAGAATTGTTAAAATGCATTTGACAGATCCAAGGAAGAGGGCTACACCCCCAGCTATAGAGGAAGGCAAAACCCCACAGTTTATATCAATCTGACCATGGGGTAAAATTCCTTCCTGATCCCAAATGTAAAAATTAGTCTGACTGCAAGCAGAGGCAAAACCCTTTAGGCAGGAACCTCCTGGTTTTAGTTCCAGAAGGAGCATTGGCACACCCCAGGCAAAAATCCCCAGCCTTAGGTGCAACCAATACCCAATAGTGCAAAAACCCACCTGACACCTCTAGCAACAGGAGGGAAAGTTTGCCAATGACACCAAACTCTGGGGTAAAGCATCCACACATGAGGACAGGAGGGTGACCCAGGCAGATCTTGACAGGCTCAGGAAATGGGTAGACGAGAACCTGATGGTGTTTAACACCGAAAAATGCAAGGTTCTCCACCTTGGGAGGAAAAACCTGCAGCATGCTTATAAGCTCGGCAGTGCTACGCTGGTTAGCACTACAGGCAAAAGGGACTTGGGGGTCATGATTGACCACAAGATGAACACGAGCCTTCACTGTGATGCTGCGGCTAGTAAAGCAAGCAAAATGCTGGCTTGCACCCACAGATGCTTCTCAAGCAAATCCCAGGACGTCATTCTCTCCTTGTACTCGGCCTTGGCGAGGCCGCAGCTGGAGTACCGCGTCCAGCTTTGGGCCCCACAATTCAAAAAGGATGTGGAGAAGCTTGAGAGAGTCCAGAGAAGAACCATGCACATGATCAGAGGTCAGGAAAACAGGCCTTATGATGAGAGGCTGAGAGCTATGGGACTCTTCAGCCTGGAAAACCGCAGGCTCAGGGGTGATCTGGTGGCCACCTACAAGTTTATCAGGGGTGCTAACCAGGATCTGGGGGAACGTTTGGTCACCAGAGCACCCCAAGGAATGACAAGGTCGAACAGTTATAAACTACTGCAAGACTGTTTTAGGCTGGACGTAAGGAAGAACTTCTTTGCTGTCTGAGCCCCCAAGGTTTGGAATAGGCTGCCACTGGAGGTGGTTCAAGCACCTACTTTGAATGCCTTCAAGAGACATTTGGAAGTTTATCTTGCTGGGATCCTATGATCCCTGCTGACTTCCTGCCTCTGGGGCAGGAGGCTGGACTAGATGATCCTCCGGGGTCCCTTCCAGCCCTAGTGTCTATGAAATCTATGAAAAAAATCTTTGCTGGCCCTATGTAGCATCAGAAAAGCCCCAAAGCATTTTGCTTTGCAACCTGGCAATGGCAAGCATAACTTCATACATCATATCCTTCAACTGGATGTCCATGGTGATGGGCACCATATAAAAACATAGAAAACAGTATACAGGATACTATACTGGATGAAGACCACAGGTCCCTCTAGCCCAGTGTCCTGTGCCTCACAGTGGCAGAGAGTGGATACTAGTAGGAAGACTATTCAGGTAGGGCATATCTAGATGGGTCTGTGTCTTGTTCTTCTCTTTCTGCAGCTTCTAGCATTCATGACTTAGAAGGAATTGGAGATGTTAAAAGATACTAAATGCCAAGAACAGGTTCACTCCAATTTGCCATTGAGAGGATGGGGAGAACAAAGCACCAATTTTGGCCCACCACCCCCAAGGTCATCATTTCCTGAAAGCTACAGCCATGAATTTCCTGCATACTAATTTGTTCATCAACTTACCGAAGAATCTGAAATTTCCTTGAGTGTTTGGTCAGATCCAACAGCAAAGATGATTTTGGCATCAGGCGAAATGGCAACACTGCTGTAGCTGCAGGTCTTGAGCACACACTCTGACTCCCTGTTACCTGTCAACAAACTCCATTCATACACAGCACCATCTGTGCCACAGGAAATCAGTTTGTTGTCATCCGCACTCCACATGACTGAGCGCACCTGGGAAAGTGGGAACACACCAGAGTCCCCATGTGCACATATAAAGCCTAAGAGGGAACTTGTGTCTTGCTAGAAGGGATCACTGAACTGAAAAATCTCTGACTGCTGTGGTTTACAAAGTCAGTGGAGCCAGCTTCTTATGGCACAGTTGTGCTTCTAACTTCAGAGGTGTTTTAGCCACATGCTTTATACCTATAATTCCTTTTTTTCTTTAGAAAAATGGTATCCGTTACTCTATAATCACATTAGTGAACACTGATGCAGCATTGTAATATAGCCCCATAATTTTTCATGCCTTACTCTGCTACCATTACCAACCACTCCCTGCTATAAGATTATTCAGCTGTATCTGGTACGTTGCATTAGTTGGTTATCAGCAGCTGACTTGCAGCCCTGGGGAAATTATGATCTGATCAGCACACTGCAGGATATTGCATTTCAGCAATGAACTGGAAAAACATTAAAATAAATAATAGGAAATAAATGGTCTGATGAAATCTGTGTCAATGTTTCCCATTTTACAGGTCAATATTAAACACTGACTGTAGTACAAAAGTTGTCATATTATCAGTTTTGTGCAATGATGAAACTAACCACTTATTCAGGTCCTTGTAAAGTACTGTCTTGGATTAGAAACTGGCCAAGATACAATTTCCCCTATGACTTAGTTTCCTTAATAGTCTCTTGTGAGGGACACAGACAAAATCTTTTTTGAATTTTAAAATAAAATTATATCCACTGGTTCTAATTCAGCTACTCCTATTATGTTGTAGGCATCACACTGACCTTCCCATTGTGTCCTTTCAGATTATTAATGTTTTCAAAACTGGTGGTAGAGTAGATGTGAATCACATTTCCATTAACTGCAGCAAAAAGATGTCCCCCATTACTGAAGACACACTGCAGAGAGAAAGCATACCCAGTCACTACTGAAGGTGCAGTGAAACCCTGAAGAGAGGAATCCATTCTCCCAGTCTCCTACTGATGTTACAACAGTCACCCAGTGTTTGAATGTCACACAGAAAGAAACCTCCAAGTCTGGCTGCCATCTTTTATGAAGCCCTTCTCCCCCAGTGCTGTTAGCTGCCTTGTTTCTCCTGTAACCTCCACTCCCACAAGTGTCCTCCAGCTTGCCTCTTCTTCAGACACCAGGCCTATAGTTCTTGTTGTGCCCCTTTTCACTTATGCCTCTTTTCCCAGATCTCTCAGCATTCACTGCAGTCTCCTCTTTGCTCCCCTGTCCCAATTCCCACATTGCCATTCTGCTTACCCCATCTTCCAAACTCCCTTGAACTCAACTTCCGCATTGCTCCTCACCTCTCTGCACCCTCTCACAGTGAATTCCTTAAAAGTACGGATGTCATCAATTAGCAGGTTCATAAGGCGCAGTTTGTCAGAAAACCCAACCACAATATAAAGGCCAGTGGGGTGAAGAGAGACTGCATACGCCTCCTCCTGGTACTCCTTATACAGCTCCAAAGTGCTGCAAAAGAAGAGTCAATCCAGTCAATATCACAGCCCAATCTACTGACCCATGAAGAGTTAGGAAGATGCCAAGCCTTGCACTGACAAGGGCCATTTATACCACTAGTATCCGCCTTTATTACCTTGCTCTGTCACTATCATAGAGATGATGCTTTAAGGCAAGGTCAGGCATTTGAGGCCTCAAACCCATGGGGAAAAGTAGGACAGGTTTGCAGTAGCACAGACTCGCTTGTGCACTGTTATACAATGAAGGAGGTTGTGTTGGCATGTCACCAGACACTTTTGGTTACACAGAATAAAGTAGGGCTGAAAGGAACCTCCATAGATCATCTAGTCCAACCAATGCCTGAGGCAGGATCACCCCTATCCAAACCCATCCAGTACAAATCCACTGTCCAACCTTTTAGCAAAACTACAGTCAACCCAGATACAACATGACATAACACCTAAAACTGCCAAAGGTAAAGCATAGGGATCATGGCAGCCAAGGTTGTTAATATACACTCAAGACATCCCAGGAAGAAAGGAATCACAGCAAGGATGCCCCCTGCTCCAGAGGAAGGCAAAACCCCTCACAGTCCATACTAATCTGACCACAAGGTAAAATTCCTTCCTGACCCCCAATATGGCAAATCAGTCTGAACTTATGTGGAGGGGCAAGACCCTCTATCCAGGAATCTTTCTGTCTAAGTCTCAAGAAACATGATAGTATGCCCCAGCCTTCAAAATCCCCAGCCTTGGCTGCAGCCAACACTCAATGCCTCCTAGGGAGGCATGTTAACAATAGTCTATGTTTCCCCGGCCTGTGAAACAATAAAATTACCTGAAATGCGGAGTATTTCAGAGCTTAAAAATGCAGTGAGAAATCCTTAATTAATGACTATATAGATAGTAGGCATCTGTCTGTCTCATTGGGGAATATAATTATATGGTGACATGCTTAGAGAAGAGCTCATCCCTACAGTGGATAACAGCAATGCAGCTTTGTATTAGAGGTGCACCGATACATAGGTCCAATATCAGATTGGCACTGATATAAAGAACACTAGCCAATTGCCCATCAAAAATGACGGAGGGAGTGGGTGAGTCAGTGACATGGTCCCCGTCCCCCCCACCATCCTGGCCCGCTTCCCCCTTCCCTCCTGCTGCATGGGAACTGGGCCCACTCCCCCCGTCCTTGCCACAGCAGCGGGGGGAAGGGGAGGAGCAGGGCATGCTTATCTTGCTGGGATCCTATGACCCCAGCTGACTTCCTGCCCTTGCGGCAGGGGGTTGGACTCGATGATCTTCCAAGGTCCCTTCCAGCCCTAATGACTATGAAATCTATGAACCTTTAAAAACTACTCAAGACTTAGCGTAGCACACAGTTGCCCATCTGCTTAGGGAATCAGACCCAGTGCTCTTACCTTCAAATGCTTTTCATAGTCTGCATTGGGTTCCCATTGACTCTGTATGTGTTTTCAGTTGTGAAGGTAAATGTCTGTAGCTTGCAGTGGGGAGTTTGGTCTTTCACAGGCAGGGTGAAATACTCATGTATAAGTTCAGGGTGGGGAGTGGTGGTGAGAGTACCCTTTTGGCAGGGGTGCTGAAGAGCAGCCACTCTGATGCCCCTCCCAGAGCGCCACTCTTATCCCCTTCTTCTACCTAATCTGCAGCTGTGCTTTCTGCTTCCTATTCTGTCTCTAGCCCAACCTCCTACTCTGTTTTCTTCACCCTGCCCTATCTGCTGCTTTGCTATCTGCCCTTTCTGCTGCTGCTATGTTACCTGTCCCCTCCCTGATCTGGCACATGCCACAGAGGCTGCCTGTGCCAGCTGTGGCACTCATGCTGCAAGTTGGCTACCCTTGTATTAATTCATGCTCTGTCTGCAGTAGTGACTGTTCAGAGGATAGGTATAGCATTACTATGGAGAGGGAGTTCATTCTGTGTAATGTGATTAATGAGTTCTTCACTCATTCATATTCATGGAGCTTGTCAGTTTTGAACAGTTGCAACTAATTTATAGCAGGATTTATCCCAATTGCTGCTCAGGCATCTATTGACTTTCTGCCAATATTTTAACACGGGGATCCCACAAAAAATCTCCTCTCTCCCCATCTATGAAAGGAAACCCAAATGAATCTTAATATATTGCTTTCTCATAACCATACCAAAGTGAAGGAAGTAACACCACTTAGCAAGTAAATGTACAAGGGACATTTGCTAAAAATGATGGCCTAAAGCCTGTGTTATGCAGGTAGAGTGAAGAGCTACCTGCTTTTGTATAGCTATATTATTTCTGCTAACAGATTCATAGATGCTAGGGTCGGCAGGGACCTCAACAGATCATCAAGACTGACCCCCTGCCTGGGCAGGAAAGAGTCCTGAGGTCAGATGACCCCAGCCAGATGCCTATCTAGCCTTCTCTTAAAGACCCCCAAGGTAGAGGAGAGCACCGCCTCCCTTGGAAGCCCATTCCAAATTCTGGCCACCTTTACCGTGAAAAAGTTTTTCCTAATATCTAGCTTAAGTCTGCTCTCTGTCAGTTTGTGAAGATTGTTCCTTGTTACCCCAAGAGGCGCCCTGGTGAACAGAGCATCTCCGATTCCTTGCTGCACTCCCCTAATAAATTTGTAGGAGGCCACAAAATCACCTCTCAGACTTCTCTTGCAGCAGCTGAAGAGGTCCAGGTCCGTTAGTCTCTCCTCAAAGGGCTTGGCCTGCAAACCCTTAACCACATGAGTGGCCCTCCTCTGGACCCTCTCAAGGTTATCTGCATCTTTCTTAAAGTACGGTGCCCAAACTGGATGCAGTACTCCAAGTGCGGTCTGACCAATGCCGCATAGAGGGGAAGTATCACCTTCTTGGTTCTATTTGTCATGCATCTGCTGATGCATGATAAAGGGTGGTTTGCTTTGCTGATGATTGTCACACTGACGACTCATGTTCATCTTAGAGTACATTATGACTCTGAAATCCCTTTCCAGTTCTGTGCTGCTGAGAGGGTTATTCCCCAGCTCGTATGCTGCTAGGTGCAGCACTCTGCATTTGTCCTTGTTGAACTGCATCCTATTGTGTTCTGTCCACTCTCCCAACCTGTCCAGGTCTACCTGCAATCATTCCCTACCCTCCGGAGTGTTCACTTCACCCCACAATTTAGTATCATCTGCAAACTTGAACAGAGTACACTTCACACCCACATCCAAGTCACTGATGAAGACATTGAAGAGTACATGTCCAAGGATGGGTAGTGGGAGCCTTGCAGAACCCCACTACCCACATCCTTCCAGGTCAATACCAACCCGTCTACTACCACTCTCTGGGTGTGACCCCCAAGCCAATTTGCCACCCACTAGACCATGTAAACACCTAAGTCACAGCCTCTTAATTTATTTATGAGAATGGGATGAAATACCATATCGAAGGCCTTCCTAAAATCCAAGAAAATGACATCCACCTCTACTCCTGGTCATAAAATGAAACCAGATTAGTCAGGCACGATCTACCTGCTACAAAATCCATGCTGGTTGCCCTGCTGCATTATTTGTCCCGCTGGACTCATACAAATATGATCCTTAATAATTGTTTCAAAGACTTCCAAGGATGGAGGTGAGACTGACTGGCCTATAATTACTCAGATCCTCCTTCCTACCCTTCTTGAAAATAGAGACCACATTAGCCCTTTTCCAGTTCTCCGGGACCTGACCCAAGTGCCATGAGCACACAAGCAGCCGTGCCAGTGGTTCTGTTAGGACACTGGCCAACTCCTTCAGTACCCTCGGATGCAGCTCATCTGGGCCTGCTGACTTAAATGCATCCAGTCCATCCAAGTGACTCTGCACCAAGTCAGCATCAACAGGTGGTAGGCTGGTGTCCCTTTGATAACCATCTAAGAACCTGCTAGGAGACTTATCTTGACCCTTGTTCAGGAACACTGAGGCAAAAAACTCATTGAAGAGCTCAGCCTTGTCCCCCCTGTCTGTCACTATTTGCTCCTGCTTGTTCAGTAGGGGTCCTATGTTGCCCTGCATCTTCCTTCTACTCGCTACATACCTAAAAAAAGACTTTTTGTTGTCTTTCATTTGTGCTGCCAGCCTCAGCTCCATAGTTGCTTTGGCCTTTCTAACTGCCTCCCTGCAAGTGCAGGCCAAATAGGTATACTCCTCCTTGGTAGCTTCCCCTGCCTATATGCCTCTTTCTTTGCCCATAGGCTCCCCTGGATTTCTGTGTTTAGCCAAGGAAGTTTTTTGGCCCCTTTCACTCCTTTCCCTCACACTGGGATCATCTCTCTCTGTGCTCAAAGGATCACTTCCTTTAGGAACAACCACCCTTCCTGAACTCCCATCTCACCAATACTCCTATCCTGCAGTGCATCACTGATTAAACTCCTGAGAACACTGAAGTTAGCCTTCCTAAAGTCAAGCACTTTCACCCTACTAGTTATCTTACCCACTCTACACTGTATGGTGAATTTGACTGATTGGTGGTGTAGTCTTCCGTGTCTCTCTCCAGTGCATCTCATATGGGGATTCCTCTCTAGCCTTGCCATTATTCTTAGGGATGAACAGCTTGGTTATTGGAACAACTTCAGGTCGGTTCACTAGGGGGGCCTCGCCTCCCACGTTTTTGATGATGATTGCCTTCAGATTGGGTGGATGATGTTTTGGTCCTGTCTTCCCTCGGTCGTTCCATAGATTCATAGATGCTAGGGTCGGAAGGGACCTCAATAGATCATCGAGTCTGACTCCCTGCATAGGCAGGAAAGAGTGCTGGGTCTAGATGACCCCAGCCAGATGCATATCTAACCTCCTCTTGAAGACCCCCACGGTAG